ACATTTCGTTGTGTGTTTGTGAATGAATATGTGTGGAAAGTCTGAGTGACTTGTTCTTAGTCGTCTGATTTCCTGGGACATGGAACTATATCAGTAGGAGACTCTGATGAAAAAGACATATCCTGCTCAATATGTTTTTACTTGGTAAGTTAACTTTGAATTGTCTAATTCTTCACTCCCTGCTTTAGATTTCTCAAGTGTTAAAGAGCCTAACCAGGCCATTACAAACTTCAGAAATACTCTTCAAATATGTGATTAATACATGTGTTTGTGTCTTGTCTTGCTGCGTCAGAGTTGAAGCAGTGGAAGCTTTTATTCTTTAGATTTCTCGAGTGAGCCAAACCATAACAAACTTGCCTAAAATCAGAAACCCTCTTTTAATATGTAACCAACACATGTTATTGTGTCCGTTCCTGCTGTGTCAGTTAAAGCAGTGGAAGCAACAGTTATAATTCTAGACGCTGAAAAAAGGCAGCTCTTGGAAAATAAAATGATTACCTAACCTTTTGATTTAATTTACTTAAGACAAGAAAGAAGGGGGTTTGTGATCTGTCTTTGGATGTGAGTTTGGAAGAGTATATGAGCTGTGATCGCTCAGGGTGCATTATGAAGAGCTCCAGAGCCTGGCTGCCATATGGCACTGACCGCTGACAGTGCAACCTCAACTTCTTGTGATCGTAGGTCTAATAAAGGGTGTGTGTATGCGTGTGTTTCTGTGTGTGTGTTGTTTCCAACTCCATGCATTTCTTCCTCTTTTAGCCTTCCCTCTCTTGTGCTGGCTGATCACTGAGCTGTGGAGAACAGGTTGATGCCGTCACACCTGCAATTTTCTTTCTGTCTCTTTTCTTCTCTTGTCACCATCACTCTCAACTCTCGTTGTCTGTCTGGTGTCCTTGTCTAGACGACACGTCCATCCGTCCCTTCAGGCTGCCGGCTGCAGATAAGATAGAGAGCCGCAGACTAACCTGGCTCACTTTTCAAGAGCAGACTGAGAAATATGATGCACCTCGGAATAATTGTTCTTTATCTTCTTTTAGACAATAGAAATAGTCGTAGATCTGAGCTGTGTGTGTGTGTGTTGATGTGTGTGTACGTGTAGTGTGCTTATATGCCGAACAATGAGTGTGAACAGGTGTGTGTTTCTTCCGGACCAAATTTTGATCTGATTCCAAGGATACAAAGAACGCGTTATGGGTGGGTGCTTGCTGTCCTCTCAGCTTTGTTACCCATTGGGTTAGGGTTTACATCCTGTTATTGTTTAAATCCTTGTTAAGACACCAAATGACCACTCACCCATAAGCTATAAGTAGGGGCAAAGATTATGACTGCTCACATCCCACAAATGAACAAATGTTGCCATATTCAATTCCAGAGAAAGGTTTGTTTGTGTATGTGCTGAGCAGGAACTTGGGTGGGGTTTAAGGTATGTTAGAAAGGCTGTTGCTGAGCAGCACACTGACCATCTGCATCTGCCCACTGCTGTTGTAATAGCTAGCATTCAGCCTCCTTGCCTCAAGCGCTGTTTCTATTTCGTTCCCATGACAACTGGGCCTTCATTCTCCGCCTCCCCGCCTGCTGCTCACTCCGTGCCACGCACGGGGGCCTGTGCCTCGGCCGACATTACCATTTTGTGCATGTGTGTTTTGGTTGTTGTGCACAAACTGGACTCCTTCACCCTACACTTCCACACTGGAGTGTGGGTGGAGTAGCACTTAACACCTCCACCTCCACAGGATCTGGGATATTTATTTGTTTGTTTTAGTGTTTGTACATTTGAACCAATTTGAACACAACTGTACTAGTGACGGTGTCAGGGTGAGGAAGGTGGGGTTACCCATCCCAATGCTCCGCTCTCCTTTAATTCGTTATTAAGATTAATCTTCATTGCTGTCAGGGATCGGTACTGATTAGGATGCACATGACCCGATTTCCTTAAGAGACCATACGAGTGCACTGCTGGCCCCACTTAAGAAACCCAACTTTTACAAGGAGCTGGTGTGGTAGTGGCATCAATGTCACCGTTTAATAAGCTGCTAAACAAACAGTTATGGTGAGTCCAGCCCCGGTGCTGTCATGCCTCAGAGCTTTGCTCCACTTGTTCCGCACTGCTTTGGTTGGCACCTAAACTGAAACTGCCCCTACACCGAGGCAGACCAGCCCTCTTTAATAACCTGTGTTTTTTCTCACCAACACCTCTGATTCATTACGCTTTAAATGGTTTAGGGAGGTCATCATATTAAAACAGCGTGAGTGTTGCACATGTCCTTAGATTCCACAGTGGTATGAAAACGCTTAAGAAAATTGCAAGGGAAAAGCGTTTTTGCGCATCATGCACAGTTTACTTCTCAGCAGGTGGCAAACAATAGACAGAGCACAGAGGGAGGGGTCATTTAATGAGTGACAGACTGTGGAGTCAGCAAGAGCCAATGTGACAGAGGTGAAGGCTACTGCATTATTATGTTGTACTAGATGAGATTGGGCGATTGCCCTTCTCCCTGGATCACTGAGCGGTCTCCTGGCCTTGTATGAGTTGATCTGAGACCCTCCTAAGGTTTTTCTTCAATGCCTTTCTCCCCGAACATAAGTTTGAATTTCAAAGATCCCCTTGCCTTACACCATGACATTCCCTTTTTATGTATTGTAACTCTCCTCCCCATGTCCTTCTGGCAGATGATCTCTCCTCTCTTGGTGTGTAAAGAGGGGCTTCATGGCCTCTCTTATGTCACTCTCATTGTCTCTCTCACCCCTTCTCTCTCTCTGGGGCGAGGCTGTTAATAATGCAGGAGGATTAGCTGATTTATGTGAGCCGCAGGCACCGAGGAAAGCTGGGGTTCCTGGGGGCGACTGGCAGAAAGAGAGGGCAGAGAAGTGTGCAATGTTGTGGGCGGTGGCATGGAGCCCTGGGTGTCTGGATGATGGGGTCTGGATGGGTGCCTGGCGAGCATACTGGCAATAATCCACTCCCTACTGCCCCCCAAACCCCAACCTCATTGTGATAGGGGGTGGCAGCAGAGAAGGAAGAGGCAATGGGGTCTGAAAAGGAGAAAAGCATGGATACTGTCATCAGGCTACATCCCTGCAACATGTACGATGTTGCTATGGCACCCATTTTGACGTGGTTGCCTATTAGTATTTTATTGTTTCCCTAGCATGTTATCTAAAATACATTTTGTGTACTTTGAGTCAAAAGGTTGAGTCATAAAAACAGTTTTCAAAGCATGTTTGTGCTGTTGTACGGAACAATCTATTACTCAAATAAAGAACCTACATGTATAGCACTTATATTATGTATGGTGAATAGGGATAAGATAATATACTTTATTGATCCCAAATTGGGATACAAATGTGTAATGTTTAGGTAGGTGTGCTGGTCTTGATGCTTAATGTTGGTGCTAATTAGTAGCGCACACACACACACACACACGGTTGGTTTTAAGGTGGTTTCTGAGGAAGATTATGGTTGGGGATTGTGGGGGATTTCCACCTGTCTTGGGCTGTGGTGCATAGTGTTTCGAGGTGTGTCTGCCTATTTCTATGTGTGAATTGTGTGTGTGTGTGTGTGTGTGTGTGTGTGTGTGTGTGTGTGTGTGTACTCGTGGTATTTGAATGCTCCTGTGCTCTGGCCCATGAGCCACAAGCCATCGGTGCAGGAGCCAGCTCAAGACTGATGGGTTTATTCCTGCTGTCTGCTCAGAGGATGCGCTCGCTCACCGCTTGGCTGATTTCGACTTCCTTGCAATTGTTCTCACACTCCCAGAAAAAAAGGTTGATTCATGTTTGAACTGATTCATGCTTAAAGGAAATCAAACCACACCGTGTTCCTTGTTAGATCAGCTCGTCATAATGGTTGATAATTAATTTGAACCATGTTGCTCTCCTCAACGTTTTCATAGCCAGTCCCGTGTGCACAATGTATGATACACCAATGTGTGAGTTTGTGCAAGTATGAGCCTGTGTGCTCTCATCCAGGCACCATACATATGCATGAGACTTCACGGCAGTGTGACTTGGGGGAAATGAATGTGCAAAGAGTCGGGCACCTAGACCCCTCTCTCAAGTGCACTGGCGGGCGCGTAATGGGAATGTAATTTAAGCAGTGGTTAATCAGTGTGTTTTCTCCAGATTGCCCAGCAATGCATAATAGACAATCAGCCCCCAGTCACACGGGCGTTGCTACGAATGGTCAATTACTCATCATAGTCTTGTTAAACACACAGTTCAGCCAGCCAGGGACAGATTGCTCTGCTGGTGCCATCATTATGGTAAAGAACAAAGCAAAGAAATGCTATGTGTCAGAAAGAAAGCCGGAGAGAGAGAGGGATAGAAAAGAAAAGGAGGGTTGGGAAGAGGCATGCGCATTGTGTGTTTTTGCTCATCGTTATGGGACAGTGGAGGGAAAGAGACGAGAGGAGAGGAAAGGGCCACTGTCATAAAGCAGAGGGAGAAGAATAAGGAGTAAAACGCCAACATGGAAACAAAGAAGAAAGTACGGGATTCTCAGAGTCATGCAGCGAGAAAGGAAGAGCGGAGAGACAGAGAGGAGGTGAAATGGAGCAGAGCAATAAGAGAGATTGAGGGCATGAAAGTGAGAGATAGAGAGCATAAGATAATGGAGGGAGGGAGAGAAATTGAGAAAGGGACACTGGGGAGCGGGAGCAAAAGTGTGTGAGAGCGAGAGGGAGAGAGCCTGAGAAAGTGTGTACTCAGCTGTGAGATGAGACCTCTGTCTGCCCGTGGGGAGAGGCGGTGTGAGAGGAGAGAAAACGAGGGGAGAGGCCCAGGCTGTCAGTGAGGGGGAGGAGAGTCTCACACTTTTTCTCTCCCACACACACACACTCATTCAAGCTCTCCACGACCAAATCGGCCTGGCTTTGTGATTCCAGTGGGCTCCATCCTTTTAGATCTGTTGTTTTTTGTTATGGTCACACTCATGGCCAATTTGCACTCCTCTAATTCTAACCATGTTTTCTCTCCTACCTTTTTTCCCTTTGGGTACGCAGGCAGTGGATTGATGGGCAATTCCTCCGCCTCCTTCATGGGGACCTTTCTGGCCAGTAGTCTGGGTACCCCCTCTTCCCACCCGTCTCACCCTTCCCGGCCGCCCTCCTCGCCCTCCTCACCTTCCTTCCGGGGCGGACCTCACTCCAGCGCCTCGCAAATCTGGTTTCCCCATTCGCATGAAGGTACCTCAAATCACACATGTACACAAACACATGGCCCTGGTCTGACCACATATATTCATGTCCTGGAAGTATTGGGGACAGAGCTTCACAGGGTGTATTGTTACTCTGATATTGTGTATTTTTAGGTTAGGTTTCCACAAAAGCAAGGCTTGTAATCATCCAGCAAGAGCCAGGCTCCATCCCTTTTTATTTGAAAAAACCAAAATAGGTCTGGAGTACAGTGCCATGGTTTCTGGATGGGGACACAGGGTCAATAGTTGAGCCAAGGAATCTAGCGGTATTCAATTCACGTCAGCAAGAATGTCACTCAAGACTCTCTGAAGCAGCACGCGCCAACGCGGGCTAATACAAAGTTGCAGTGATTGCAGAGCTTTCAGCTGGTGTCTCCATCACAGCTTAATAGGGTAGTTCCCAACCAATGCTTAGGATTACAAAACCCTGACACACACACAGAAAATATAAACACACACTCAGTTCAACACGTCACACTTCTTTTTAGATACAGCCAAGAAGTCAGACAAGGATAAAGTAGAGAGATTAATCTGTTGGGGTATTTTTGAAATGTTAATGCTAAGAGTGATATATAAATGTAGGACCTTTTCATTGCCACCCACTGATCTATTAATGCAAGGTCTTTCTTTCTGAGACTGCACATCTGTCACTGTTTATAATCTTTTACTAATTACAAGATGTATTGGCAGCCCAATACCATCTAGTGAACCACACTGGTAGAAGTTGTTGGACTCTTGCTATTTCAGCCCTCTTGTATTTATTTTCAAAGAATAGCCCAGCTGTTACTCCATGGGCGAACGCCAGTGGGTTGTATTTGTTATTTGTGGTCACTGATCAGCGTCGCCCCAGTTGCCTGATGTTGGTTTGGGGCTGATTGGGCACATACAGCTGAGATGCAGTTTTTTGTGTCTGTTAAGCCATTGCATGCCCCCCCACACACACACCCACCTCACTCTTATATCCTGACTAGGGATTGTGTCAGTGGACAACTGCTACAGTGGTGAGAATATCTGAAACTCTAGACCTTTTCAAATAAACATAGAGACGGGACAATTACATTTGAATGAGATATGAACTACCTTCGGCTCAGTCTGAGACAATTTCCCTCAAAACTAATTTTGTAATCATTAGTGTTCCTTTTACCTTATAGTTTCAGGGTTTCATTGTCAAAGATTTTTGTTCTTGTGGAAAAGTAGAATAATATTAATAAGAGTGATGATGATAATGCCAAGCCTAATAAAAGTAATGGAGGTGATTATGACTGGGATTATTACTCAGTTGGCAATGGAGGCCATTATCTCTATTGCAGTTTAATTGCATATAACGCACTAAGAGCATGATTGAATCCAGACTGTTCATCAACCACATTCAGCTGTTCCCTCCTCAAGATAATTGCATATTGTCTTTTTCCTGTTTTGCATAAAAAGCAAGTCATCAAAATGAGCGGCACAATTACCCAGACTCTCGCCTCCTCTCTCCGGGTGTCAGCAGAACCCCACCAGCAGCAGAGCAGGCACTGGCTCGTGTGTGTGTGTGTGTGTGTGTGTGTCACTTGTAACCTTAAAGATATTCTCAGAATGTTCTTCTTTTTTTGTGAGCAGTGTGTTTTTAAAGTGGCTGTTTGCATGCAAATCCAAGCATAGCAGCTCGAATTTGTATTCAAAGATTACTGTATGATCCTCATGTCTCAGGCATATACCTGTCATGGTGCAGAATGTCTTTGTCTCTGCTACTCTTCCAACACGTTTGCCACAGATTAAAGAGGGAACATCTACCACGTATTGAGCAATACATAACAAGGATCTCATTAGCCACTCAGCATCCATTCACTTAATGTCATAATCGTAAAATATACGTCTACATTAGGTAAGTGTCTTAAGAACAAATGCTTAGTTTCTCTATACGAATATCAATAGCAAGCTTTTAAAATAGAATTATGGTGAAAGTCAGATAAAATGTGATAAAAAAAACACCAGGGAACAATCCTATCTGAATGTTTGGTTTTTAATGATACAGTACAAAAGGTGTAGACATCATTTGGAGGTAGATCTGCAACAACATTCACACATGCGGCTTATGGGTTTATTCCATTGAGTGCATGAGAAAAAAGCAACAAATGTTCAAACATTTTTTTCTTGAAAATGAAATGTATAATCACAAGATGGTTTGCCTGAATTTCCACTACATTAGACATCTGTTGACTAGTTTTTTGAGATATTCTGCTGACTGACATAAAAATAAGCCTCTAAACAATAGCTCCTTCGGGAAGATAATAGTAATAGTGATGATAATAATAATAATAATAATAATAAAAACGATAACAATTAATACTTCTGCTAATAATAATAATACTAAATAGTCATTCTAATTAATTACATTTTTATTCTGGCATTAGAAGGCAACATCAGAGAGAAAAATAAGTGTTTTCAATAGTTCTGTGTTTTTAGTCTCTCTCTTTAGATTGACATTGTGTGTACTACACACTGTTGTTTATCTGCTGAGTGGAGACATGGACTCATTGGCACAGAGTTTGAGAGGGAGAAAGCGGTGGCAGTATATGATTGTGGGTGGAGGAACACAGCAGAGAAACTGTGGTGAGCGTTTTAATAAATGTAATGTAAAATGTTTTTCACAACACCTGGTAAAACGGATTTCTTCCTCTGAGCTTTTGGAAGATTTATTTTCATGTTTGGAGCAGTTAAATAAACAATGAACAACCCCCCCTGAATCAACTGAGTGGAAAAATTAAAAAAGAAAAATAGACTAAAGGAAAAAAAAACCTGCGGGCTCCTCGAAGGCCTGAGGCCAGCTGGCTGCAATCCAAATGACTTATTACGGTATGCCAAAAACAATTGCAGCCTCATATCTCTGTCAACACATAGACACACACAAGCATGAACACACACAATTGCCTGCGCACACCTGTCTAATCCACTTCTGTTTGATACGCCTTTCCAAGCCTATCTTCAGTTGTCCATCTTTCCTTCTGTGAGCAGTTGCAAGCCTTTTTTCCTTTGTGGGATTTAAGATGCACCCCCATCGCTTATTTTCCATACTCCTGCCTTTCATTCCCTCTCTGGCACACTCTCTCTATCTTTCTCTAGCTCTCTCTCGTGCCAGCCTGCATCCCTTCCTTTCAATTAGTCAAACCTGAAAAGATCCACCACAGCACTGCCCCTCCTCCACCAAACCCCTCCTCCTCCCGTTCAGCGTCTTGATGGTTCTGTCACTTTTTCTCAATTAGCGGACCTGACAGGCAGCTCAGCCTGCTCCTCCTCTCGGTCCTCTTCTGCCATGCTCTCTCTCTCTCTCTGTCCCATCTCGAAAATGTTACAGCCATTTTCGTGCTGACAATTTAAACTTTGGGCTTATGTTATTTTGCCTTTTAGCAAATGAAGAAACCCACATGAGGAAATATGGGCTAGTGTGAGGAAGGGAGAGCGAAACTAAACACTGTCGTCTGCCTCTTATTCAGCACGCTTAATTCTCCACTGCCTCTAGGTGCTGCTCTATATCCAACCCCCTTCTTTGTCCTTCATGTCGGCCTGCTTCTCTCAACCCACCATGCTGTGAGAAATACCTTCAGAACTTCTGGAAATCCCTCCCTGGGATGCAGCTCTGTTTGTTCTGCCGCTCGCCCCTGCTCCGCCCGTGGAAAAGAGGGCAAGCGCTGTGAACTCCCTTCTGTCATTCACTTGCCGATGCTGACTCGTTTGTGTGTGTGTGTGTGTGTGTGTGTGTGTGTGTGTGTGTGTGTGTGTGTGTGTGTGTGTGTGTGTGTGTGTGTGTGTGTGAAGGGAGAGAGAGCGAGGCTGCTGTGCAGTCAGCAGACTGCACTAAGACCCTGCTCACGTCGCCTGCAGCAGCAGAAGCAGCAGCAGCTCCCCTTGTCCTGCCCAGATTAATGGCTGAATGGGCTCTGCCGTGCCCAGCAGTCCCCCTCTTGCCGCCCCAATGGAGGGCATGCTGAAACTGAGCGGGCTGGCATTATCGGGCACAGCCAGACCACGCTGTGAAAAGGGATTACGCCGTCAATCGTCACGCTCACAAACAACATGCTGCCGCAGAAAAAAAGCCCCTCTCCCGGCTTGGATAAAGCCTACCAAACAGCTCTCTGCTTTTTCTCCCTCCCAAAATCAGAGAAACATTTATTTCTTAAACAAAGGATTCCCCCTTTCACACTGTAGATGAATTGGCATAAATGTGTGCTTATTACTCATTAAAAAAGCAAGACAATCAAGAAAGAGACAGACAAAAGGGGAGAGATAGAAAATAGGTTGAAGAAAGAAAACTAGGGAAAAGGTGAGGGCATGTAATTATCACCTCATTGCCCTCCTCAGAAAGCAGCACCTCCTGTGTTATTGCAGGACTGTTTGCCATCTCTATGCATTTCATTAATTAAGATGGGAGCATGCGGAGGCCGCTATGAGACGAGGTCATTAAGCCCACCACAACACTCCTCCTCCCAAGAGCCAGCTCACAGCACCGGGTCCATTGTTCCACCGGCAGAAAGTGAGACATTCAACACCCAGAGCTCCTGTTAAAACCACGGCGCTGCGCACACACACAGCCAAATGAACTGCATCTGCGTATCCTGGATCAGGCCTCACGCTTACCAACACAAATATGTCTGTCTTTCATTTAGCTTGTACAGCTATGTTTTCCTCCCTTTATCCCCCCTCCTCCTTCCTTCACTATGTATGCGAGTTGTTTGAAACTAAGGCTGGAGGGTGAGGCAGGTGCAGCATGAGGGGAAAAGAGATGTGACACACCTGAGCTTCTTTAGATGACTCAGAGGTCACTGAGATGGTTTAATGTGGTGGAACGTAGACATACTGTCTGAAAAGAAGCACAAAAAGACGCTTCATGTCTCTGGTCTCGTTTGTCTGTATTTTTCTCCTTCGCTCTTCTTCCTGCCCTAATACTCTTTCACTCATGGTGAAAGTGCATTTATAGGTTATTTTCCTCATTCTTCATTAATATCTCTGTAGGCTTTTCGTATCCACAAGTATATGGGTAGCACACAGGTTCATTCATGCATATTACATTACATGAGGTATTCAGTAAAGAATATGCACTGCAATGTTCAGTAAAATATTTGATCAAGTGAATTTTTGAGTATTTAATTAAGAGCAATTGTGTTAAATAATTAATTATACATAAGTAGAGATGGGCTGATTAAATTCATGTTTATTTGTTTTAGTTACCCAATTGTGTAAGCGGGTTGTCATAGTGATTCTTTGTCTAATACAGCGATAGGCTTTCATCTCAATCCATGTTTTCTCTCTCCTCGCCCTTCAAAGTCTTTTGTGTTTTTGAATGTCCCATTGCAAAAGGAGTTTTGTGTTTGGTTGTGGTGTAAATCTCCTCCTGATGGGCTTGATGCAATAAGCCCAGGTGTACTGGCTTAAGGGCCCAACATTGAAATGACCTTTTACCCCTGGTCAGTAAAGGTCAGCTCCCACCCCAGCTCTCTCTTCATTGTAAACACAAGCTTCAAATCCGTCCTTATCGCTCCATCCAGATGGAAAGAGGTGCCAGTGCCAGCTCTGAAAAAGAGATAAAGAAAGAGCCATATATTCCAAAGACAAATTTCGTACAGCAATCTCCAATCTTGTCTTGTATTGTTTGCATTCTTAACTCAGGCAGGAAAGGCAAACATGACAAGCAGAGCCAGTACTTATTTGCGTATGAACACCACCAGCTGCATTGGACCTGAAGGATTATGCTGGGTTAGTCTGGATAACTACATCTTGGAGGTTATTGTCCTGTCTTATCAATTATCCCCTCTCTCTGCTATCCGTTTCAACAGCTCCAGGGTACCCTCGATTCTCAGGGAGTCTGGCCCACACGTTTCTTCCCATGAGCCACTTGGATCACCATGCCAACAGCGGAGTTCTCTACGGTCAGCATCGTTTCTATGACACGCAAAAAGGTGAGGCAGGCGATGATTAAAATGTAATCAGACAGAAATAAGACATCTAAATCCAATTCAAACAACATAGTATGGTGTAATTTGATGTGGAATATTTATATAAGGATGCCTAGGGACACTATCATGAGAGCTGAACGATCTAATTTTGTCATTGCCTTTTGTTTTCTTGACTAATGCATTTGTCTTCACTGTCGTGCCTTCCTTCCTCTCAGAGAACTTTTATCTGCGAGGTCTCCCTTCCCAGCCACCCCTCATCTCAACCAATCACAGTCTGCCACCTATGTCCAGGGCAGGATCAGGACACTCTCAGGGGTCCTGCAGCAGAGACAGAGATCCAGGGGTAGGGGCAGGTCTCCATAAGGGCCTCAAAGAGGGGTCTGTGGAGAGAGGAGTTGTGACTGCTAAGGACAAGGAGAGGACCAGTAGCAAACAGGAGGCAAAGGAGAGACAACAACAGCAGCAGCAACAGCAACAGCAACACAGCCACCAGCCGCCCCAGCCCACACACCACCACCATTCCCTCTCCCATCAGCAACACCCACACTATCCACAGCACCCACTGCCTCTGGAGGAGGTCAACAGTCGGGCCCTGGAGAGGCATAAGGCATCTCTCACAATGGAGTACAGTAAGGAACACCTTCAGAGTATGGGCAAGCCCCTCAGTGCCTGCTTGCACAATGGAAAGATGCAAAACGGAGATGCAGGAGCTGGGGCAGGGGCTAAGCCCCCAATGCCCAGCTGTGGGGGGGAGGGCACAGTCCTTGTGGCTATGGGAGGTGGGGGGAGTAGCCAGGGCATACATATGGTTCCCAGTAGTAATGGTCGCTGCGGCAAGGAGGGGATAAGTGGGGAGATGAGGATCAGTGAACAACCTTCAGACTGTCTGGAAAGGAGTCAGGCACAGCTCCACCACACTCTTTCCTACTCAGTACCCCCAACCTTACACATGGGTTCTGCTGCGGGGGGTGCACACCCCCATCAACATCCTCATGCTCACCCCCATACACATCCACACCCAGGGGGCTTCCACTGCCTTCAGCTCCATCCCAGCCACCCACACCACCCACATCATTCCCACCACGCACACCATCACCCAGACTTTTTCTGCCCGCCCCCTCCGGCTCCTTTAGCCAACCCTGCCTCACATGACAGGGGGCCAGCCAATGTGGGGCGAGAACCTAAAGTCACAGGGCCTACATTTGTGCCATCAGTGGCAGGCCTGGGGGACAAATCCAGTGGTCCATTCCAGCATGGTAACCCCGAATGCCGCAGTGTGGTTGGTGTGGTTGGTGGCGGCAATGCCAAGGAGAAGGTTGTAGAAAAGAATGGAGGCAGTGGGCATCATAGTAGTTGGCACAGAAAACAACAACAGCAACAGCAGCAGCAGCAACAGCAACAACAACAACAGCAACAACAACAACAACAACAACAACAGCAACAACAACAGCAGCAGCAGCACACATACAGAAAGACAGAGAAGGCTCCGGATTGGATGCAGGCCCACCATCAACATCTTCAGCCCTCACAGCTTCCTCAACCTCCCCAACTACAACAGCCTCCACATCCCCAACAGCAGCACCAGGTTGTACGATCACGCAGTGCTGAGTGTGTCAACAGTGTTGTGGACATGGATGTGTTCAGACCCTCGCTGTCCCAGGGGCCAAAGGCTGGACACTCAGTCCCACATTCTGTCAACACTTCTCCTTACAGAGACTGTTCCCATCCAGGACCCCAACCACACTCCTCCCCGCTGGGAAGTAAAAGCATAGTCCAACATAGTGGAGCTGGGGCAGCCCATGGTCCAGGTCCTGGAGTTGGCTGCACCTTACAGAGAGATGGTCAAAAAGTAGCCAGGATACGCCACCAGCAGCATGGCCGACCTGCGCCAGATGCTCCTTCTCCTGCAGAGTTGAACCAGGGTACTAGTCAGGAACTTAAAAGAAAAATGGACATGTCTCCTTATGGCTACAGCAACAACAGTGGGCAGCATCACCACCAGCAGCCCCCAGTGCCATCATGGGCCATGAGGCCTACCCAACACATGTCCCAACCTGATGAGCAGGGGAAGTCTTACATAGAGTTAGGGGTGACTAGTGGGCAACACTCCCAGCAGCAGCAACAACAACAACAGCAACAACAGCAGCCAGGAATGCCACTTCCCCAGCCTCCCCCTGCACCTCCCCTCAGTCAGCAACAGCAGCAGCAGCCACCACCGCAGCAGCAGCAGCAGCCACCACCACCACCGCAGCAGCAGCAGCCACCACCGCAGCAGCAGCAGCAGCAGCCGCAGCAGCAGCAAACGCAGCAGCAGCAACCTGAGCAGCAACCTGAGCAGCAACCTGAGCCCCAGGGCCAAACTCAGGGGGAGAGCAGTGCTATGAAAAGCTTACTTAAGTATAGCAACCAGCAACAGCCACTGCTTCTCTCCCAAAAAAGCCCATTTGGGGGCCTTGGAAGCCTCAAATCAGCTGCTGCTGGGGGGAGCTGTGCCATGCAGGGCAACAAACAAACTCTACCTTCCAGAAAGGGCCCAGCCAATGACAACGAGCGCTCTGATTACAGCGGGCGAGGCCGGGATATTGGAGACACAGGACATGGGGAAAGCGAGGTGCGGCAACCACCAGTGGGAATTGCAGTGGCTGTGGCCAGACAAAGGGAGCCACCATGTCGATCTGCAGACGGTCATCCAAACAGCCGACAGGGCAGGGTACATCCCTCAGTCAAAGGTAAGGAGTATAAGTCACTGCCTAATAAACAGATGCAAGGAATACTGAGTCAAACTAATATGAACCCTCAGCACTGTCACTATGTATCTTGGGAGTCATATTAGTGTTTTGAGAAATGGTGAGGGACTTGGGAACATATCCTTACCAGGTGAAATCTAATGGTTAAGCTAATACTTCTCTTGCAGGACCGCCCCGCCCCATGTATCCCTCAGATCCCACCGAAGAGGAGAGGAAAAGGATGAGTGGGGAACAGTTGGGTTTGAATTGCTTGGATAGAGAGAGAGATGCTTATATCAGGTAAGCTAAAGAAAAGCCTTTGCTCAAAGCCTGTTAAATACATTATTTTCAGAAACCTTCATTTGTATTTTTCTGTTTTTTTCTCAACCTAATGCCAGGGATAATAAGGAAAGGGTGGAGTTTGCAAGAATCCACCCCTCCAACAGCTGTCATGGAGACCTCACCTCTCATCTCATGGTCCCAGGAGGGACTTCCCTCCAGTCTGGCCAATTAGGAGATCCTGCTGCACATTCTGCTCACCATCACTGGATGCCAAGAACTGGAAGCCCATCCCTCTGGATGACAGGACACTCTTATGGTAAAATAATATTGAGTACTTAAGAAATTAAGATTATTCCAACAGTGTGACTTTTTACAGTGTTGCAGATCATGTAAATAAGGCAGTCTTGTCCTGTTTTAACCATTTATGGAAGAGTTAAAAAACAAAGGTGATTATACGCTCTGATGACCTACAGGTCAATTATTCTTGCTCAGCAGAACATTTTGAGTTGGCCTTAGTGTCTGCAGAGCTATGTGTCATTTGAAAGTGGTGCATAATACAGCTGCTGAAATATAACATTACCTGAAGAGAGAAAATATTTAAATCTAAGCACGTTTTCAATTGTTCACGGTCAGGATTAGAATTGATTTTATAATGAAGTGATTATGATTGGTAGTTGGTCGTTGTATATTTGTAACACTGATTTACCCACTATGTGGTGGATATATACATCTAACCTGAAATGCTTTCTATAAACCAGGAATAGGTCATTCAGCACTGCACCAGAATCTACCCCCAGGTTTCTCTACAGCCATGTCAGGCCCTCTGCAGCCAGTCCTGCCTCTGCCTCAGGACCCCTCTGCCCAGCTGGTGGTCCTGCCCTCTGAGCCTTCCAACCATGCAACGCATCACCTGGGTATGCATAACTTTGCTTTCTCCTCTGTATACCCTAGCTTACTTTTGAAAAACTTTTAATGTGTATTCATGTACCGCCTCGCACATGAACGTTAACATTAACAGAATTGTTGGTAGTTCATCAGCAGTCTTCACAAGATCCCTCCCTGTGAAGACTGCTGATGAACTTCCCTTTAAGGGGCCCATTCAGAGAGACACACACACACACACACCACAATTCAAACATTTCCTGCGCACCACCTGCTCGGCCCAGCAGGAATAGGGCTTTCATTGGTTTGGAGTACGCATCCAGAGCAACCCCACACATATTCACACACTGAGTACCACGTCACAGAAAGGGGAAGAGTGAAAGTGCGGGAAAGATTCAGTGAGCAGGCTGTGACATTTAATTAGCTCACAATCCTGGATAGTAAGTTTCCCTTTGTGCTCACCAGGAGTTTTAGCCAAGAGGGGTACTGCCTCCACAAAACCTATCTATGGTATTTTTGGTGTGTCTTTGAGAAAAGGGGTGAGGGACGAGTCAAAGGTGAACAGGTTCTTGGGGTTACTTCAGTGTAGACCCACTTCTTCGGAAATTGGACCTCTGTCATAGACACCCACACCAAGCTGTATTGGTCCTTGAAGCCACAACATGAATAGGTTGTCTACACAGACATGGGAACTGAGTTTCCTGCAGGGCCCTTTCACAGACTCTTTTCAGCTAATGTTGCTGGACAGGTCAGAGTTTTGGATGGAAAGTCCACACTGAATGCTCCGGTGAGACAAACATTTCCAGTCCAGTATTTTGACCTCTGATCAAACTACAGCCAACCGCATCTGTTCACATTTCATCATTGTCATGACTTTTTTTTTTCGCCATTCCAGCAAATTCTCAAGACAGTTCTTAAGAGACAGCTTTCTGTTTAGAGCGGGGGAGAGTGTGGGATTGCTGCTGCCTGGGGAGATGTTGTTCTGCAAAGTCAAAAATGTTTTTTCTGAACACATTTGTGGTTGCTATAAAATGTGAATACAATGATTTTTAAATGATCCATAATGATTTCACTGTCTTACAAATGGGTGTGTAGGAGGTAGATAATGACAGGATAAGGATATGAATATCACAATGTTGTGTTGAATCCAAAGGAAAAAGGTTGCCTAAGTGTGTATGCACGTGCGTGTCTTTTTGTCCTAAGGTAGCCCCCTCCGTTACAATCCTCCTCCTTTTTCTCATTAGATGTGATGGAGCAGCCAGGGCTGTGGCCCCCTGTGTATGGCGCCCGGGGCCCACCCTCCCACATGCAGCATCCTGCTGTGTACTCCCGATCCCAGTTTCTACGGCAACAGGAGCTGTACGCTCTCCAACAGCACCAACAGCTCCAGCATCAGCATCAACATCAGCACCAGATCCACCAGTCGCAGCAACCACAACCACAGTCTCAAACCCAGCAGCAGCAGCAGCAGCAGCAGCAGCATGGGGCTGCGCATGGCATCGACATCCAACATCATGCCACTCAAAACTCACAGGTGATTATAAGTCAAAGAATGCAGGAAACATTACAATTGCAGTATATTTGTATCTATATATACACACATGTAAAAGATAACAAATCTCAAGCAGAGTGAGTGAGTCAGCCTCACTCTCTCACATGACTACAGCCTATTTTTAACTCACCTAAAATGGTTTGGGATTTGCTGACTTTGTAACAGGGATTGAGTAAATCAATGAATATAGGCAGCAGAGCAAGTAGCTTTAAATGTCAATATTGCAAGCAATTGGTAATTACAGTGCCAAAATATGAATTCACTTGTTTTAGATCTTCTAGATTTGTAGGGCCTTTCAGTAAATGTGAAAATGAAAATAATTTTTTTTCAAATGCCATAGATGCAAAAAGGGCCGGATGAGCCCTCTGTGGAACTACAGGAACTCATTTCAGAACCCAGAACGTCCAAACCTGCCAAGCCCTACACTTATAACGCACCTCGGAGGAACACCCCTCCCCCCGGGGCCTGTGCCACTCACCTGTCCCCTTGTTGCCAATCCCCTTCACTTCGGCCACATCCCAGAAGCACTCCCTCTACACCCTGCCCTGCTCCCAGCCCTGCCGCAGCGGCCCCTCACTCGCCTGCCATCAGCCCTGCCCCACACCAGATACCCAAGGGGGCCGAATCCCAGGAAAAGCGAGGAGAGGGACAGCCCCCTCAGGACTACCCACAGTGTCTGGAGCCTGGTGAGAATAAGCAAGCATATGTATATGCAAATAAAAATGTGGCTAAAAGCTTTCAAGCCGCCTCTCATGGACTGCATGCAATTGCTTCATTAAAAGCCATCAAATAACATGCCGTTTGTATTTAGTTTGAGATTTAAAACTAAATATGGCAGACACAGAAGGAGAAAAAGAATTGTAGGGAATTTGTATTACTTTGTAAATTATACCCAGTGGTAATTGGAATCGCTACTGTCTTAAATGATCCTTTTTCTCAGCTGGTGTTGTGGTAATATGTGTGGTTGGCTCTGTTGGCAAACTCCTGATTGACTGAACAGCTCAAAGCTACAGAAAATGGCTGCTGGCTGAGCTGGGGCTTTTCACTACCGTTACTTCGGTAATGACTGAGAAACACCTCAATAGCAGCCCTCACCTCTCCTGCACCCCCTCCCCCCCCCGGCCCCGCACTCTCTTCATCATCATTAATGCCTGCCTAACGGCCGCCGCACGCCAGAGGAATTGTGTCAGGTGCTCTGATAAACCAAAGCCTGGCACACTTCAAAAAACCCACTCACACAACATTGCATGTGGTCCTCTACCCCTTCTTACTGCTGGGAGATTAAGGCAGAATGCATTTCCTTTTTCTGGTTTTCATCGCCTCCAAAGGTAGCCAGGGGACTAATCTTAGAGAGGCCCTGATGTGAAAGGACTTTTGATTTGCATACAATTTTCATCAGCCAAATATCATTTAGGAAATAATGTCACAGAGATATTTTTGTGAGAGTTATATCAGAAATGTTTCTCTTATATTGACAATTAATGATTTAATTATCTATATTTCCTTCTCTCTATAGACTTGCCCCGTGGATACACCTACCCTGCAATTTCCATGGGCTACAGGAGCGGGCCCTCCCCCCAGGATGTTCGACTCGCTGAGCCAGCTGATCTGGAATCAGTTCAAGTGGAGCCTGCTGAGCATACTCCCGAGTCTCTCTCCAGTCTGGGGGAGGAGCTAGACTGCCAAGTGGTTGTCAGGCCCCTCCCAGGGCCACTCCCGTCGGAGGAAGTGCAGAATGCGGAGGAGGAAAGAGTTGTTGATAGAGTTCTGGAACAGCGGGAGGAGGGAGACGTAGCAGCGGTGAGAACATCCAACTATGTGCCTGGAGAGAAGGAGGTGGAGGAGCAGGGGCCCGCTGAGGAAGAAGTGCAGGTTTGCCCCCCTGCTAAGAGCCCAGTGTGCGAGGCTGCTTTGTTTCCAATGCCGCTTTCAACAGAGGAGCCTGAACGGCCAGAAGTTGTCGTCACCTTTGAAGATGACGATGCAGCGGTTATTGAGGAGGGCCAGGTCAACAGGACCAGAGAGAAGGAGCCAGAGCTGCCCACCATCATTGAGCTTGACCCTGCTTCCCCTGCAGCCCCCGGGCCTCAGTCCTCGTCCATTGAGGCAGCAGAGGACAGCGACCAGGAACAGAAGAGCAAGATGACCCCTGATGACACCACACTGGATTTTGTGTCTCTTTCCCCTGCCTCAGTTATTGCCCCGAGCCCGAACCAGGAACCTGTCGCAGCGCCCACAAAACCTCTGGTCCCCTGCTACTGGAGTCTGGAGTTGCTGATTGCGGCTGCCTTCTGCACAGACGTACCTCCATTCCCGCTGTATCCTCATAGCACCCCATCAGTTGTCCCCTCAAAGTCCAACCCCCACCACGGTATGGAGCTCCTGAGTGAGCTGGCAGATCTGGAGCTACAACAGCAAAAGCGCACCAGTGGAAAAAGCCAGGGTGAGGGACAGTGTGTCTTCCTTAACTCACGTAACACACATCAACATGCACACATAAACACAATCCTATCAGCACAATGCACCTCATTCCCGTAGTTTACCCTCATTCTCCTCTGCGTCCACTGAGACAAACTCCAACTCCCCCCCCAGGCCTAGCCTCCGTCGCTCTGCGCTCCCTCCCAGATACTCCTCTCTTCCTGCTGGTCTTGAAAGCCTCTGGTGGATTGCAACATCTCCCCAGAGAAGATGTCTGCATGCCTGCTTGCCGTTTCTCTTCTTTGGTGTGTTAAAAGGCACTTTTATTTTCTAAAAGGCTGTTCTAACGATGCACAGGCCTCAGGAGAGGCAGTAGAAGCAGGAGGACAGGGCTGAACAACTACTGAGGGGTGCACACCTCCTTTTTCTCGCTCCCTCTCTTTCCCTTCCAGCTTTCCTCAGAGAGCTGTCTCTCTGTCTCTCCATCCCGCCACTGTTTGATCCACACAAGTGCACAAACGCACACACAAAATTGCAAATACGCACATTAAAAAGAGAGAGACATACCAATTGGCTTCCCTCTCTCTCCCCTACACACGTTACTGAAAGTTAGTGTGTAATCACAAAAGCAGTCGATGTTTTCAGCACCCTGGAGCATTGCCTGGCTAATTAGACCCCATTGTTTTAAAGTGCCTTTAAAAGCTTCCTTGTTTTTCAAAGCACCATGTGTTTTTTGTATTCATGCAAAAGAATGTTTTGTGTTTACCACAGCATCCTAATGCATTTAACTGCTCCCAAAAGAGGGTTCTATAAAAAGGGTATCATCAACTGATACCAGAGTCACTGATGTTGTCTTTGTGATGCGATAGTGTTGACAGCTCAACGAAGTGGCACATGTCAAGTCACAACAGTAGGCTTTACCAAAACAAGCACTAAAACAAGTGGAAAGGATGAGTATTTTTATTTATAGAAGGAAAGATTCTAGATAGTGTTACTCCACAAACAAAATGTCATTCTTTCTTTGTCACAACACTTCAACTCCTCATATTCAGCCTTTATCTTAGTCCATAATGGCAGTCCAGTCAGTTCCATAGGTGGATAGGAATATACAGGAAGAGCTTGGCCCAGATGGTCTTTGACATAGTAGCATCTGGTTACTCCACATTGATTTAACCTCTCAAACAATATGCCCCTGGTTCCTCATCCTGGTTTATTGCACAATTTCTTTCTTTCTCACCATTTATCCGCCATATCACAAGCGACATCTTTAATGCCAAATGTGCACTGACTTTTTTTACATAGACATTAGCTTCTTTAGGCACATTTTAAGGCTTTGTTCAAATATCTCTTCTTAAAATCAAGCATGGATTGTGACACAATATGACCCAAACAATAATTTTGTTCCCGTTACAGAAGATGAGCTGCTGATGTTTGACCTCCAGAGCCTTGCTACCCTGGCCACTGCCCGTGCTCTGGAGATGGGCTCTGAGGAAGGCAGTACTTGTGGTTCAGGGCGACACTTCCCCGCCCGTAGGATCCTCAATTTACGTAGAAAATGCAGCTGGACACCTCGCAATGAACCAGTAAGATCCCGGTGTTAATGCCTTGAATCGGAATGCCCCTATCAAGTTGAAATGTCTTTGATTTTAGGATGTTTTTAATATAACCATAAATGATGTGCCCCTCAGGTGTGCCCGGCCAAAGGTAGCATGGAAACAATAGACGGTCCTGAACTTGCAATGCGTGTGAAGTTGGCTGAGCTACAGCGGCGCTACAAAGAGAAGCAAAAGGAGCTGGCCAAACTTCAGAGGAAGCACGATCATCAGTGAGTGTGGCTCTATCCTCCTTACTAATGCCCGCCCTTTGCATTCAGAGATTTCAAAAGTAATCCAAACTTTAAAAATCAACTGTCCTCAAGTATCAGATGATGCCTTTTCTCAATTATTTGCTGCGCCATCATTTTTTGAGTTAAGATATGTTTTTGTATCCCAGACTTTGTCTCTCTTTTCCTCACTGTTTAAATCTGTGTTTGCAAGCAGGAAAGAGGAAACACCCCGAAGCCCAGCCAGACGGGGACCTGGACGGCCAAGGAAGCGGAAACCTACCCTCACCTCAGGTCCAGTGTCCTCATCCGAGGGCCAAAGAAAAGTCAAGTAAGTATCACAAGCCCATCTACGCTGGCTGGCTATAATCCAATCTTGCCTGAAAAACCCCTCAGTATCTCTGGCGTACAGGGACCGCCTCTCATTGGAATACACAGGAAATGGGAGAACACACAGCTGAACCATTCAAGGAAGTCCCCCATTTCTAGTCTAACCAACACAGGAGCTAATTGTATTACAGCAGAGGTGTCATTCGTGGGTTTATCTGCTAGTACATAATGTTTATATGTGCTTGATATATGGACTACACATACCTAGACTGCTCACAAGTCTCATTAGGCTTCTACCCAGCTAATCTTCAACCTATGTGGCATGACTGTAGAGAGCATGTTGAGCTTAGCTAGGCAGGGGTGGGGGGGCTCAGTGACAGGCAGAGGATGTAATTAGAGTACTGTGAATTCTCCTGTAATCTTTCCCAGCAGCAGGAATGTGACACACACCACTGCCATAACCGCCCCGCGGGGTCACCAGGGGTCCAAAGGATAACATGATGGTCAGACAGTCCAGGCACTCAGTGATAAGCTGACATTTAGAGCTCTAATACTATGTATCTGCGCGTATAAGGAAAAAAACAATTAGTGGAATACGGTGAGCAGAGCAACGAAAGAAAAAAGAAAAACAGATAAAGCCATACTGATTGCAAGGATGATATTCAAGGAAAAAGGACCCTGCTATTTCTCAAAATTGGTTGATGAAGTTTTAGCTATTTAAAAAAAAAAGGGGTGTTAGTGCTATTTGGTGGATGTGATAAACCAAAAGGTTCTAGGGGATAAAGGTTTCCTGTGCGGCTTCAATTAGCCTTGTCATCAGGGGTTTGAAAGGCTTAGAGCACTAAATGTCACCTCGCAGCATTCCCTCTCTCTCCATCTTCCCCCTCCTCTTTCTTTGCTGTGGTTTCTGGGCAACAGTCCACCATGTTCCCAGCTGCCCCTTTGCGGTGTCACCTCCACTCTCCTTCCATCCATATACCCCTGCCCCCTCGCCAGGCCAGCACTGATCCGAGTACAGACACTGATGCTGGGTGACAATGACACCAAAATGAAAGGGTAAGGGGCCAGGGCCCTGCAGCAAAGTACAGTGGAGGGAGAGGGGGGGGGGCGCGACAGGGGGTTTGTGTGATGTTTTGCAGACCACAATACAGTAAGCCGCAGCAGAGGCACCTTTTTTTGAGGCAGCCAGGCTGTTCACCCTTTTGTTGATGTGTGTGTACAATGCAGAGGAGAATGACATGACACATCTGAACAAGGGAGAGGCAGACAGGGGACTGATTAGCCCCATGTTGCTTACACGGCAGGGTTATGTAAAAGCATGTACTGCACATGCCACTCATGCCGCTACAAGATACTGATGTTTGGGTGCTGTGACGGAGGGCAGTGGGTCAGTTGGTAACAGCCCACCCGTTAAGCGTCTCCCGACTTATTTTGCTTGAACCACAGGAAGTGTGTGTGTGTTTTAGTGAGCGATAACTCCAAACCCTCCCTGCTCGCACATTCTTTGCATCGGCACGATTAGATATGGATGCAACTGTGTGCTCATAGGCATTAATGCAGGGATTGTTTGTTTTTGTGGGTGCCTGTTACTCCTGTGTGGTAGAGCCCTGGCGTCCTTTGTGGGGCTGCTTTTATTGGGGGGAAGACTGGAAAGAACTGCTGCTATCCAGCAAACCCTGCTAATCAATTCTGTTTAATTAGTCACTGTACGCTCAGCCCCCCACCGAGGGGAGGGACTCTGTCATATTGTGTTTGTCAGCAGCGGAAGGCAAGCCGTGGCGGGATCTGCCTCACAGACAACTCACACTTCACTGACGCCTCTGACGCTCTCCCGCCCTTCAGTGGGCAGACAGTCCCACTGCCCGACAAACGCCTGCATTTTGTTATAGATGCACGCTGACACACACTTTTGATTTTAAACAAAATTCAGTATAAATTCATTGTTCAGGTAAACACTTAAGCACACATTTGGTTCCAAACAATGTGCAGTTACAGAATTGTATAAATATGCAACAAAGAACAAACATGAAATGTTAAATGCGCTTTATTTATCTACTTCACATTTAAACCCTGCCTACTCGGTAAATGTGACTGATTTCTTCGGCTGCACACACACTAGGAGAGGGGGAGTTAATCTTTTGTTGAGCATGGCCTGGCTCACGTCGGTGTGGTCTATGGGCAGGCTTCCAGAGGGAAAATTCAAGGGCATTTGGAGTGGTTGGCCTGTGATGCTGCTCAGCGTAGGGGAAAGAGTGTGCCACAGTGATATGAAAATGCAACTGGAGAGCTATGATATTCACTGAGAACAATAGAGCCGCATACAAATGCAATGCCTTCCAACCATTCAGCGCATCTTTCAAAGCAATGCAGTGCTTCACAAGCTGCACAGACCCTCCCCAGATGAAGCGTTAAGGCTTCTTATGCCACACTGCCCTCGAACAATCCCAGGTTCCTTGTTAGATCACAATTTCTTCAAGTGTATGGTTCAGACACCGGGCTCTCCATGTCCTTTTTTGTCATGCTGTTCATCAGACAGAGAAAGGAGACTTATTAGATCCCAGAGAGAGGCGACTCAACTCTGTTTCCCCCTGTGATGTCCTACCCCCTCTTTTTCTTTCAAACCACCACCGTTCTTTTTCTAATGAATGCTTCTCCCTTGTTTTGACTGGCAGGTCGATTGGGGCGGGGCTTGCCCTGTCGCCTGAGGACCTAGGAGGGGGCGGAGACAGCCAGAGAAGGAAGAAGAGGCTGTCCAGTCAAGGCTTTGAGCGCCTCAGCAGCACACAGGTCAGAATCCCCTTGTCCTCCTCCGTTTTGCCCTTTATGCAACATGAAATTAAAGAGACCACTCTTTGTTTCCTTGCTTTTGATATATTCTTTTGTTACACACTATTCCTAATTAGCTGCTACCCTCAGGAGTCAAATCCTCTGCTCTCGGTCTTAATATCTTTTTCATTGGAGCTTCTACTGTTCCTTTTTCTTCCCTGTGTGTGAACAAATGAGAGCCTTCTCCCTCTGACGTTCTGATGCTTTTGCAGCTGCTGTGACCAGGAGTGTAACTGGCTTTCTCATCTCTCTCTGTTGCAGCAGATAAAAGCACAGGGCTGCAGAAAAAGCAGTCTTCACAGCATTCTCAGCTCCAAGCTGGCCGATGATGTGACTCAGCTCAAACAGAAAGCCCAGGGTAAAAAAATTCTCTCAGGGACGGGCTCTAGGGACAAGGAGGTTTCGCCTTGCAACTCCAACCCCAAGCATGGACACAGAAGCCAGGGCTCAAGCAAACCTGAGTTCAGGCGAGAGTCTGGGGGACAAAGTGACACAGGTAGATGCTGCCAGACAATAGTAATGATTGTGCCTCATACCGTTTGGTTTTAATATGCAGAGTGCAGTGTTTTAATTTCATTCTTAACCTAGATATGTAATTGGTTTTTGCAATTTCTTTCAGCAGCCAGTGTGGACAGTGGCCCCCAAGATATCTGGTCTGGACTAGTGCACGGTGGACGTAAAAAGGGATCCACCACCCCGACACAGGGCTCCTCCCGTCCCAGAGCAAGGAATCTCCGTGGCCAGAGGCAGGAAGCAATGGAAGAGGGGGAGAGCTCCCCTGCAGAAAGTGACTCCTCTGATCAAGGTGAGGCAGAGACGACTGAGAGCTACTTATGAGACAAATACTGTGATGATGGTAAATGTAACTAACCATAGCAAATGAATAAAACATTGTCCTCTTATAGTCACAAATACTGGGTGGGTTTCCTGTTCTTGACCATTTTTGGTGGCAAGTTTAACTGTGTAAACACACACACACACACACACACACACACACACACACACACACACACACACACACACACACACACACACACACACACACACACACAACTGGGTTCTACACTCCCACAAACACAGACAATT